GAGAACTGGTGTCAGAACTGATACTGGCTATGTAAAAGCGCGTACCGAAAAGGTGCTGCGAAAAATAAAATAAAAATATGAAAATCTTAGAAAAATGAGTAGGTTCAGAATCCTAAGTTTGGGATTAAATTGCTAAGCATAGCAATTAGCGCTAATACTATGCGATTAAAATTTAAGTGGCCTATATAAGGCCTTGGCACATGATCTTAGGTCATTGTTTAGTGCTTTCTACGTGGGAGACCTTTAGCTGAGAAGCCTTCACCACTTCATTGTCTTCTCTTCTCAATTTTGTGACCAAGGAGCCACCTTTCTCCATGGAACCTTCTCCAAAACACCATTGTTGAGTAAGAGTTGGTCTTGTGAGGGGGAGTGAGAGCCTTTTCTGGTTGTTCAACCACTGTGTGTAGGGGTTGTGGGGCTGACTTCATTGTTTGAGTTGTTTGAGAGCTTGTGCTTGTTGGTGTTGGTCCAAGAAGCCATTTTTGGTGAGGAAGAACCTTAGTGGTGTACCATTTTCATATACTTGCAAGTCAGAACCTTTGGGGCTGAAGGGAGAGCTCAAAGAGCACCTTCTTGCTTTATTTTAAGCTTGGGTAAGTGTCATCAACCTTGAGCATGAGTTTTCTTAATTAAAAATGAAGCCTTGATGCATGTAACTAGCTAAAGTTAATAACTTGAGGTTGGGTAAGGTTAAACACACCTAAAAATGCATGTTTAAGCTTCTGGAACTGTGAAAAGAACCACCTTTGGGAAGGATATCTCGCGAAATGCAGAACTGCATTCTGTCGCGAAATATCCGGATATGATATCCGGATATGGGGTCTTGTGATATCCAGATATGCATATCCGGATATTGATATCCAGATATGGCCCCGACATATATCCAGATATTCTGGGTTTCCAAGAACAATAACGGTATTGTTCATAGAGAACTGTATTTGGGGTTTGTGGACCCTAGATTGATGAAGTTGAACTTCTATAATGAATTTTTAAGTCATAATCTAAGTGATTAAGGGCTTATGGTTTTGTGAGAAGCCTAAAGACATGAAACGTAAGAGGAAGGCGTTGTCTATATGTCTTATGCTTGTAGAGTATAAATATTGATATGAATGTTGGTCTAAAACAGATTGTGATCTTGCTGTTTGTGGACTTGAGCTTGTGTGGACTCTTGGCTTGGATAGTTAGCTTGCAAGGTAAGCTTTCGTGTCCTCGATTTATCCATTGTTGGTTCGACCATATCCAATGGGGGGATAGTTTATATGCATGATGTGTTTTCATGTATTGTTTGATTGAAATGCTATTGAGATGTTAAGTGCAAATGCCTTATGATATGTATGTGGTGTTCGCCTAGACGGGATTAAGTTCCTGTGGACAGGTACGGCATTAGCGTGTACTGTGTGGGTAATAGACGTATTCCTGCACCTCTCTGGCCAGTAGATTAGTTATAACACATATGACATGATTATCTGCTGCATTGCACTGGTTTTGGAACTGATATTGAATTACTGCTTTTAGAACTTATATTGCACATGTAAGTGAACTTGGGGTGGAAGATCCTTGAGGACCCCTTGTCTTACTGAGATTTCTGTTTAGAGATCTCGCCCCACGTTTGGGGAACATATTTCAGGTTCAGGTAACCCAAGGGTTGAGACCTCGGGCGACAGGAGGCCGGAGCTGAGTTAGATATCTTCTATTATGATGATTGTGCTTGGGTTATGTTTGGATGCTGATATGCTTCACTATCTTTATGATTATGTTGGTATTGTTGAGACTCTGTTGGGCTTGTTGCGTTATTTGGTGAGCATGGGGATTGTCAATGCCACATTGACTTGACTTTATTCTTTTAGATTCGAGTTGTTTAATTGTATCAGGATTATGTCCGGTCTACATGTTGTAGTTCCGTGACCTAGATACTCACTTATATACATATATGAGGTTATTCAGTGTAGATAGTTGTCTTTTGCAATTTACATACATGCAATGTTTTTATGAAAATGATTAAGTAATCAACTTGGCTAAGTATACTGACTTCATAATTGAAAGTAAAAAGTTATTCCGCAAATTTAATTAAGTGTGGCTTAATACGATGGCATGTTAACAAACCGGGTATACACAGGGTGTTTTTACAATTTCTTTTGGCCCTAACTACATAAATAAAACTAGCCTAACATGTTTAAGAAAATAAGAACACTAAATGAAAAGAAACTATACAGATTCATAGGACTTAGCAAGAAAACTCCACAATGATTTCTTGATCTTCCCTTCCGAGATTATCCTCTTTGTCTATGCCTTTTGCAGCTTTCTGAATCGCTCATATGCCTCCTCCTCCAAATTTCGAATGAATGGAATAAACTATAACGTGCATTTTTATAGAAATAAAAATGGACTTTTTAATTTGGACCAGGCTTGTTGAGGATTAATTTTGATTAATTCTTTATTTTTCTTGATCCTTATCTGTTACGACTGATCCCAACTGCCTTTTTCATCAGATTAGTGATTTGTTACATTGAATCTGAAACAATATAAAAGTGGATTAGAATCTTATCTAGTTGTTGGTATTTTAATATCTTTTAGCTTTATTAATTAATACTATACTAATAATCATATTAATCATCATTTAAAGTAATTTTAATATTAAAAACATAGTGTCTTTAAGACTTATCAGTGACTCAATAAACTATAATCGTTAAATACATAAAAATCAATTGATTTGTTGTAAATTAATAATTAATTAATAAGTATGACTCAATAAATTATAACCGCTAGATTTATAAAAATCAACGGTTAAAATTTGATTATTTTAAATATAACCTCCCTCAATTTTGAAATGAAACTAATGTGTTTTGTGATTTTTTATTTCCTCTCTCCTCCACCGTATTTTTTATTCCTCTTCTCCTATTTCCGTGGAGGAGATTAATACGTTTTATTATATTTTCTCCAAACTTTTTTTATCATTCTTTTGAAATATTGATAAATTTAGATACTAAAGTTAATCTAATTTTAAGATTATTTTAATTTAGGATTTAATGTTTCTCGTATAATTTATCTCCTATACACTCGTTAGAAGGCAAAAAAATCAATTTAATGTTTTTTAATAAAATAATTACGCATTTATTACAGTTTTGGAAATAATTACGGATCTATTGCACAATGTGACGCCCCTTTAGGGTATCACAATTGACGCCCTATTGAGGCGTCTCACCCTAAGGGAGACGCCTCAATGGGGCGTCACTCATCAGGTGTTGACACATGTCATTTTTTTTTCAAAAAAAAAATTAATTTAATCATAAAACTTCTGAATGCCATAACTTTTGACTCAGGTATCCAAATCAGGTAATTCTTTTTTTGATTCTACATAACTTTTCTAGATCTATGCAATGACATCTTATTTGATATATTTTATTTCTCACAAACATAATTTAAATTCAAATCAGGTAATCCTTCTTCCTTAGAGATTTAGAATATATATTTAATTATTTCCTTTATTAATACAGATTTTTCAAATTGATTTTTGAGTTTAAATCACAAATCACGTATTTTTTTTCCTTATTAATAATAATTGTTACTTTTAATTTAAATCACAAACCAATTTTTTATATAATAAAAATAAAAATATTTATTTTTTTTAATTTAAATCACACATCAAATCTTGATTTATTTTTTATATTAAATCACAGACGCAGAACTGAGAGGCTCTGAGTTTAAAAATGTGACACGTGTCAACACGTGTCAACACCTGACATGTCACCAATCACGTCTAAATTGAGTTTCAATCAAGAGACAATCACGCCAAATCAAGAGGCAATCACGTCATTAATTTCAGACCACGAATAATAACCCAGAAGCTTACAAAATTAATCATTAATTTCAAAAATAATATCCTTCTTCCTTAGAGATTTAGAATATTTATTTAATTATTTTTTTTATTTCTACAGATTTTTCAAATTGATTTTTTAGTTTAAATCACAAATTAAATCTTTATTTTGTTTTCCTTATTAATAATAAATTTTATTTAATTTAAATCACAAACCAAATTTTGTTGTAATAAAAAAAATTATAAAAAAAATTTAAATCACAAATCAAAATTTTATTTATTTTTTATATTAAATCACAAACCCAGAACTGAGAGGCTTCTGAATTTAACCGCTCTTATAATACTATTCTTGCAAATTAAAATTGTTTTTGTGAGAAATAAAATATGTAAGATGAGATGTTATTGTGTAGATCTCGAAAAGTTATGTGAAATCAAAAAAAGAATTATCTGATTTGGATACCCGAGTCAAAAGTTATGGCCTTCAGAAATTTTATGATTGAATTATTATTATTTTTTTTTAAAAATGACACGTGTCAGCACCTGATGAGTGACGCTAAAAAAAAGGCATCACATTGTGCAATAGATCCGTAATTATTTCCAAAACTGTAATAAATGCGTAATTATTTTATTATAAAGCATTAAATTAATTTTTTTGGCCTCGTAAGAAACACTAAACCCTTTTTTTAACTTGTGTATATTTAATTAGGAAAAAAAAGTATATAATATTATTTTAGACAAATTTATCTCATGTTCACTGAAATGACGTCGATTTGGGTTGAGAAATAAAAAAATTAAAATGATAAAAAATATTATAACTCTAAATAAATTAAAATTATAAACATACAATGATTTTTTCCCCAAAATAATGTTGTTTTAATATAGATTAGACAAAATTATTTAAAATAATTTAAAAAAAATGGAACTCATTTAAATATAAGTATTATACTTCTTATGTTACATCATATTGTCACGAGGGAAAAGCCACGTGGAATTCGTATATTAGAAAAAAAATATGTAATGGACGCATGTGACCCCGAAAATGGAAGGGTGCATAAAATATCGAAGGGTTTATGAAACCCTTTAAATATTCTATGTGATATCATATGCATGCCGCAGATCACAAAGGTGGTGAGTGAGTGTGATACTGGTTAGTCTCTGAAGTCTGATCACAGTGATAATAAGAAATTGAATTTGAGGAAGGAATGGGTGAGGAGGTGGAGTTGATTCACTCATGGTCTGCTCCAAGATCCCTGAGTACAGGTCTCATGTATTCTTTTGCTCAGGTATGTAGTATATCACATCACATTACACTCAACTCAAGTGGTTGTTTCTTTTTCCTTCATTATGTTCTTCGCTATTTGAAGTTTAATTCCCTCAATTATCTGTGGACTTTGCTTTGTTAACCTAACTTAGAGGGATGACATTGAAGTGCTTGATGAGCCACTCTATGCTAACTTCCTTCGAATCACTGCTCTTGATAGACCCTACAGGGAGGAACTGCTCTCCAAAATGGTATGTGTAATCTCTTTCATCTCACATTCCGTAAAAATGTAACCATTCCTCAATCCTCATTTGTGTTGCTGTTTCAATTGTAGCAGGAATCTGATGGAAATAAGGTTGTTAAGGACATAATTTATCGTCCGGGAAGCAAGAAGTATAGGTTCTGTAAGGTAAACAGGATCTCTTTCAAGATATGCTGTTAGGACCCATTTGCAAGGTATGAAACTTGGAGTCCTACATTGGTTGTTTGGGCAACTAATGTGAATTTATAAGGCCTTGGGCACTCCCACCCTTTGAGCTAGCTTTTGGGGTGGTGTATTCCAAGGTTCTTATTAAATGGTATCAAAGCATTCCACGATGTCTCCCAGTTGCAATCGAGTGGTGCGGGTGGTGACGCCAGCATTGCATTGTTCGCCCGTAGCTAGTAAAAGACTAACGCAAAACCAGCCCGCATGGGTGCCGGGGCTGTGGAGTATGGTGGAATGTTAGGACCCATTTGCAAGGTACGAGACTCCAAGTCCTACATTGGTTGTATCCCATCCTTTGAGCTAGCTTTTGGGGTGGTGTATCCCAAGGTTCTTATTAAATGGTATCAAAGCCTTCCACGATGTCTCCCAGTTGCAATCGAGTGGTGCAGGTGGTGACGCCAGCATTGCATTGTTCGCCCGTAGCTAGTAAAAGACTAACGCAAAACCAGGCCGCGTGGGCGCCGGGGCTGTGGAGCATGGTGGAATGTTAGGACCCATTTGCAAGGTACGGGACTCCAAGTCCCACATTGGTTGTATGGGCAATTAACGTGGGATTAATAAGGCCTTGGATACTCCCACCCACATTGCTTGTATGAGCAACTAATGTGGGATTTATAAGGCCTTGGGTACTCCCACCCTTTGAGCTAGCTTTTGGGTTTAGGGCTAGTAAAAGACTAGCGTAAAACCAGCCTGCATGGGCGCTGGGGCTGCAGAGCGCGGTGGAATGTTAGGACCCATTTGCAAGGTATTTGACTCCAAGTCCCACATTGGTTGTATGAGAAACTAATGTGGGATTTATAAGGCCTTGGGCACTCCCACCATTTGAGCTAGCTTTTGGGGTGGTTTAGGGCTGGTAAAAGACTAGCGCAAAACCAGCTCGCGTGGGCGACAGGGCTGCGAAGCGTGGTGGAATATTAGGACCCATTTGCAAGGTACTCATTTGCAAGGTATGGGACTCCAAGTCCCCTATTGGTTGTATGAGTAACTAATATGTGAATATAAGGCCTTAGACACTTTTTCCCTTTGAGCTAGCTTTTAGAGTAGTGCATTCCGAGGTTCTTATCGTATGCTATTTGTGAAGAACTAAATTGCAGATACTGAAATGTGTTTGATTAACATTCCGACTGGTTTTACTCAAATTATGCGTTCTTATCTCTTTGTTGTTTTCTTCATATGTGACTTTGGTTATTAAAAGAGAAAGAATCCAATGCCTTGATGGCAAATGATTTTATCTCTAACTATATGACATTCGTTATTACTTTGCTGTCTACAGCATATATCGAAACAAATGGTACTGGGTTTGACAGAGGATCTAATGAAGAACGGAAAGCACTTCATTCTGATACGAAATCCTCTTGACATATTGGTATGTTGTATTTCATTTTTGTGAATAAGAAAATGCAAAAAATCTTTCATTTTTTACTCCTTTATCTCTAGAACAGAAGGCTAGTGCTGTCTTCATCTCAACCTGATGGATCTGTCTGCTTTGAAAATTGTTGGTTATGCTAGTGAAAAGGCTTCATGCTTAAGTATTGCTTTAAAAGCTCTGCAAATATTTGAATGAGCAATGTCATTAGTCTCATCTATTCCTCTGGTCACTGGCTGATGATTCTTGTATGCTAAACCTGATTGTGTGTCCTCCAGCCATCCTTCGACAAGGTTGTCCCTCCAACTTTCTTTGAGTTGGGCTTGGCAGAGCTAGTTTGTTTATACAATGAACTTTGCGAGATTGGAAAACCACCACCCGTTGTTGATGCTGCTGAACTTCAGAAAGATCCTGAGGTATTTGAGCTCTTTGAACATGCTTAATTCTTATTACTGAATAAAGTATGAAAATAAGGTCACGTTAGCATCATTGGAATGAGATGAAAGGGAATGAAAAGTAATTCCAGCGAATCAAATGTGACCTAGTTTCATGCTGCCCATTGATTTACAAGTGTCTAATTTCAATATTGATATTGCTATTTATAATTATTGTCAATATTGAGTCATACAAAGTTTTTTAAACTATCAATGATTTTAAATAGCTAACACCTTAATTGGTTCAATTAATGCCTTTGCTATTTGAATACTGTGCTTCAATCAGTGATTTGTTACTGCTGTTGCTCTACATTGGTGTAATACTATTTTTTGGCAAATTGTGATGTCTATTGTAGACCCTGCTTTGACTATGAAATCTCTGTGAGTTGTAATGTTAGACATGGAAGCTTTTATCCTAAAGAACAAGCATAACATATTTTAGATCAAAAAACTATTTGAAAGATCCCCGAAAAAAGTTAATAAAACTTTATGAAAGCAGCTCATGTTGTTCTTTTAACATGTTTTTGGAATAGATTTTTCCGTATAAATTTCTGTCATGTTTTATGTTGGTCGTGATACATCATGCAGCTAGTTATGCCTACTTATATGCAAACCTCAATTCTATTTTTAATCTTGCATCAATTTGTGATCTTGTTAATTTGCAGGCTACTTTACGGGGTCTTTGTAATGACTTAGAGATTCCTTTTCAACCTGCAATGCTCAAGTATGCATAATTTTCATTTTGCAAGCTGAAACCTTGTGCTGCCCTTTTTTTCTTGTCTTTCTTTTTCAATGTTTTCTTGTTTCCATCTCCTTAGATTTATAAGTTTTGGACACATTTAGTAATTGAAAATTTTGTCAAAGAATTCATTAAGTTACTGATTTAGTGTATATGAAAACTATTCTCCTACATCAATTTTATGCATACATACATGAGAAGTAACAACTCAAATTTTAAACTTGCCAGTTGGGAAGCAGGTCCAAAACCAATAGATGGCTTGTGGGCCCCTTGGTGGTATAAAACTGTACATAAATCTACTGGTTTTAAGGAAGAAAGGAAGTATCCTCAGGTTTGCAGTCGTTTTATGGTGTGCCTCCAGTTTAGTTTCTGTTGCAAGGTGTCCAGGCCGTTATTTCATTTGCAGTATCAATAATATTTTGTCATTGTTCGCATTGTCCATGACTATTATAGTTTGATCTCATTGAAATTGGATACAAGCTTGGAGTTTCATAGCTAGCACTATGTCTTCTTTCCATGCAAAAGATTAAATTCCATATGAAAATGAAGACAAGAAGGTTTTTTTTGTTTGTATGATTGGTTGGAGGAAGATTCTCTGATTGTAACGGGGGAAAAAAATCCTGGATGAGTTTATGCTGTATTGTTATTCCCTTTTCAGCCATTTCCCTTTTCTCTCTATGATTTGTTGGAGCAAAGTCTACCCCTGTACAATATGCTTCGGCACCATGTGAAGAAGAAGTCATCCCTTCTGAGCCCTCCTTTACCTCTTCCTGATCTTCCAGTTCCTGCAAATGAGAAATTGCTTGCTTGGGTTGGTGATGAAATCGTGACACGTGACAGTGCAAAGGTACTTACTGTACATTTTAAGGCCTCCTGTCAGTAGAATAAGGCATCTGATTTATGTGATTGGTTCACACATTCTTGTGGTTTTTATTTGTACTCTGTGATCTATCAGGTTTCTGTGTTTGATTCAGTTGTCCAAGGAGGCGACTCGGTTTGGGAGGGTCTTCGAGTGTATAATGGAAGGATATTTATGCTTGAGGAACATCTAGACAGGTAGCAGTACAAACTTGAGAAGTTGAAAGTTAATGTCTACTGCTGTCATTTCATTCAATAATGTTATAGCTGATTAAATGCTTAACTAAGCATGCATGGATTGAATGATTGATATAATATACTCTATAGATTAAATTAGTATTATTAAATCATAAACAGCAGGAAAGTTATCTGTACGTAAGCTTTTTTCTAGCCATGGTATTTTGGGATAGTTACCATTGAACAGAAAAAGAAAGTGGTAATACATGCAGGGTACAGACTACAGAATTTATTTTCACAGTCCTTTGGAGTTTTAGCATTCATTTAAGACATACTTCCTCTTGTTTGCTTATGTATTCTAATGAGTACTGATCTTTTCTACTCCTCTGGTTTATTTCAAGAATGAGACTTGCATTTAATTCTGCAATGCATGATGCATATATATGAGCTGCTTCTCTTTAACCCGAGTAGCAGCAGTTATAGTTTGTTTCCCAGATTTTTGATTATTAGCTTTCATGGCTTTGGTAGAAATGAAGAGGCAAATTTTTTGGCAATGTGCAACCTACTCTACACTTTGGTGCACTTGGTTGGACTGTACGTTGTATTTTTAAGGAGGTTTCTATGTAAAAACAATTGATTTGGGATAAGATTAGTTGATTGACATATAGTTGGTATAAAGTACATGGCCTTTTTAAATTGTACTTGGCCTTTTTAACGGGGTTTCCCTAACATATATGATGAGGGATTGGACAGCTTTGCTCCATTGATTTTCACTTTTTCCTTTGTTGTTTTCTATTTTGTTCTTTTGATAAGGAGGATTCTTTATACTCCCTTTTTTATTGTCTTAATGAATTTCATCTTTTATAGAAAAAAATAAAGAAGTTATTTTTTTTTACTCCTGGGAGTTACTTTTATCTTCTAATAAACCATGTGCTTTTTTAATCTCCAATAAATTGATGCACAAGGTACAAAACTTTCTGTTTGGTTTCATTTTTCATCGAGTAATGTTATTTCATCCAAAAATAGCAAACCCCACCAAACCAACTTGTGTTAGAAATCAAAGGTTTTCTTCCATTTTTGTCGGACCTGCAGCACCCCATCTGTTATGGACAAGATGCCAAATCAGTTTGTTTCAGTGGTATTAATTGTGTTTCTTTTATTTAATTTTAGTAAAATTTGGGCAAACAATTTCTGACATAATGTGCTTCTATTTTCTTAAAAAAAATTTTATTGGGCGTTGTTCAAGCTAACTAAGTAGTTAAACTATTCCAAAAGAAAAAAGTTATGATTAAAAAACCAAATTTTCTAGAGCAAAACTCTTGTGTGTATTTTTCATTGAGTCCTGAGTCACAAGTGTGAATGTTATTCAGTTATGCATTTTGGTTTCATTTCTTATTAGTTCAACTAAAATTGTAGGTCGGTCATATATTCTGTTCTCATAATATGATTTTATCTATAAAAACATCTGGATTCCGTCAATGTGGTTGATCTTTAACATTTCTTGCTTCTTGTCAGGATGTTTGATTCAGCAAAAGCTTTGGCTTTTGAAAATGTTCCAACTCGAGATAAGGTGAGTCCGAAGATTTGTTATGTTTGAAAAATATACATTTTATATCCCAATAGGCTCCACGCTTGATGGTGCTGGTTGTTACTGAAGATCAAAGTCCCAAATTCTATGTAAAAGAAAAAAAAAAGTACCAAATTCTGTTGTCTTTGGTTTTGTTTAGTCCTTCATTGTGATGAATGTAGTTGTAAACTTGTAACAAATTGCAGATTAAGGAAGCTATTTTCAAAACCCTAATTAGGAATGGGATGTTTGACAATTCCCACATCCGACTTTCTCTAACGCGAGGAAAGAAGGTTTTATTCTCTCTCTCTCTCTCTCTCTCTCTCTTCATTTCAGTTATGCAAATTCTTCATTGCTAATAATTGTAAAATTCTATTTTATTCATCATTTTCATGGAAATAGCCAGGATTATATGTTAGAGTCTGCAGGGTTTTAAGTATAGGCTATATGTACAAAAAGACCTCTGAATGTAGGTAATAATCTGGACAGGTTTCTTATTTTTTCAGTGTTGATTATATTGACCTGAAATCTTAATAATGATAAAAGATACAATGGGGTTCAGTGGAAACCTATTGAATGAGAATTGTGACCATAGGTAATAATGTGGGTGTTATTGATTGATAAGACTGCTGAAACTTATCCCTGTGCTCCTAAGGAACCCTTTTCTGCTGCTATGGCTTATCAATGACCTCATTGTAAATGTGCAATATACTGAATGATGGCCTATCTTTCATCTGTGGTGACAATATTTTATACTATTTGCATCAAAAGTTATGAAACCATCAACCATATGTAATTCTATGGACCAACCCATCTTTTAACTGACGTAAAAAAATTATTTTCTTCTCTAGGTTACTTCCGGGATGAGCCCAGCATTAAATCTGTATGGATGCACATTAATTGGTAACTTCCTATCCCTTCACCAAATAACAATGATGCTGATAGCAAAATATTTATATTCCTGAAAGAATATATGTATATCAATGTGGCTTTACTGAGCAAGTTGAAATTTTTGGATTGACCTAACAACATCTGTTTTATGGTTTCCATTTTTTCATGGGAATGATATTTGTGATCTTGAATCTATAATACAAAATGAGGCAGAAATAGAGGGAGATGGAAATTATAGGATCCAAGCTACGTAGATTAAAGGGTGGAATGCTTCATGTGTTTTTTGTGATTCAAAGGTGCTTCTCAAGCTAAAAGGAAAATTTTACCGCACAGCCATAAAACTAGCAATGCTTTATGGAAGAGAATTCTGGGCGGCAAAGTGCCAACAAGAGCATTAGTGTCAAAGGGATTAGAATGTTGCATTGGATGAATGGTTTTACTAGAAAAGATAAGATCAGAAATAAAAGTATTTGAAAAAAAAAAAGGAGGAGTGACACCGAGTGAGGAAAATACGGTAGAACAATGCATAAGGTGGTTTGGACATGTGAGAAGACCTACAGGCCCTAGTTAGAAGAGTTGATCGGATGGGGGACATCCCAATAATTAGAGGTATACAAAGACTAAGAAAAATTTATGTGAAACCATTAAAAAGGATTTAGACATAAATGGTCTCTCTAAAGATATAGTTTTTGACAGAACACAATAGCATCATTTAATCCATGTAGTTGAACCCATCTAGTGGGAAAAGACTTTGGTTATTGTTGTTGATTTATTAATTGCATGCACAACTTAGTATTCAATGAGATCATAGGAAGAAACAGCTTTGATAACAGCTTCGATTTTGGGAAACTCTTGAGAAATTACTGAAGTCTAATTTTTGGTTCCAAACAATTATCTTTGCAGCCACACTTTGTTCATGTTACTTGACATAATGGATTATCTAGTTAAATTCTTATTAGATCTAGGATAGAAGTCGTGCTTTTTTGGGGATTTATGTTATTATATATGGTGGTTAATGGAACCGTTTAATAGACTTGGCATGCTGATAAGAGCAACAAGTTAAGGTTTTAAGTTCTACATTTGTTTATTGTGGAAGCATTTTTTTTTTGGTACATAAAAGGGGCAAAGCCCCAAAAGAAAAGGAAAAAAGACAAAAGCTAAAACGAACAGAGAGCTAATGAGGGTCAGTGGGCCAGATCTGGCCAGAGGACCCTTCTAAGTCTGAAGTGATCAACTTCAGGAGATTCTGATCAGGAGAGGCTATGACAGAGGAACCCAAGGAGCAGGAAAGGGTCACCTTTGCTATCTAGTCAGCGCAAGAATTACTTCCTCTCAAAGCATGAACAAACTTAACATTCCAAGACAAAATGTTCATTGTGGAAGCATTTTGGTTCTGGAAGAATGCCTCAGTTGTTTGTGGAGCTATGCAAGACAATGTTTTCATTTGAGTTTAGTTTTAATGTATAAATTACCTTAATTATTTCATGACTCGGCAATTTTCTTTTCAAATGGATAGGCAATATTATAGTTAAATTGGTCCTTCCTGAAATATGCAGTGCTTGCTGAATGGAAGCCCCCAGTTTATGATAATGAGCGTGGTATAGTTCTTGTAACTGCTACAACACGTCGGAATTCTCCAAATGTAAGTTTCTTGTTTGTATACTTGCTCCTTGAAAAGAAAAAAATATTTTAATTGTTTATGTTTGCATTACTGATGAACTTTTTGACACTTCCAATAATAGTTAACATCCAAGCTTTTTTGGTTATATCACCTTGGTAATAATGTCTCTGTTTGAGAACTAGTGTTATAATTAGCTCCATTCCAGCCTGTCTTTCCTTAGATTGGAATCAGTCTCCTGTCCCTATGCAGTCTGGTCCCATCTTCAATCTCTGATGCAGTCTAGCCCTGTTTCTTGCCAGTGGGTTATATTCTGAGTTTATTTTCTTTTTAGTTTGTTTAATTGTAACAAGCTAGGCTTTAACTTGAGAAAGAGTGTTAGAATATCTAGGAAATATCTTACAATATCCTTATGTATCTTAGAATATCCTTAAGTATCTTAGGTAACCTATTAGAGTTGGTTTTCATATTTTCTTATATCTCATGGTTTGTTTCCTTATTTAATTAAGATCACGAGTCTACTATAAGCATAAGTCTTTTGTATAACATCTTATCATGTTATTTTACACCAGATTTTATTCAGAATGTCTATTCTCTCTCTTCCTCATTCCCTACCTAAATTTTATAATTTCAACAATTTTCTTCCAAAATGTTTATTTATAATAGAGGGTATAAGAGAGAGAGGAAGCGCAGAATTCATGCATTGTCATTAACTCATTATATATCTTTAACTATAAATATGAAGCAAGAGTGCTATCACCAATTACAGTGTCCATTTCCTGGTATGAAGTAACCGGAAAGAGACATAAAAAATTAAAGTATATTATGCGATTTTATGGAAAAATTTCTTTTAATCACTACAGAAACATTTCAACTACCTTCCTTTAACATATGAATCTAAATTATTAGTCTCATCACCATCAGAGAAGAAAAAAAAAAGATTATGATCTTTCTACTGGGGCTGATTTTGAACATTGGCCCTACGTTCTTACAGTTATGCTTTGACGTTTATATGTTTTGTTCCCATATCTGGTAGGTATATTTAGATCAGATAGAGGAGAAATTTATTAACGCTAGTATTGATCAATAACAAGTGAGATTGATCTCTTGTTCTTGTTTAACTCCCATGCTTAAGTGTATGAAATTCTTCTGAAAATATTTCATTATTATAACAATTGAAAGTGACATATGGGATTGCTTGGGATATCACTATAATTGAATGAGATTTGTTCAACACCAACAAAATTTCTGTTTGATAATACTCCTTTTAGTCTGTCCAGTTGACTGTCTCTTCCCCTTTTCTTTGTTTTCTTAACCAGAATTTGGATTCAAAGATTCATCACAATAATCTCCTCAATAACATACTTGCGAAGGTAATCTTCTATTCTCATGAATTTTTTACAAGTAGTTATTGTCGTACAATGTATCAAGCAATGAGTAGTATATTTACTAGTAGATTATTTACTATTGGAACAGGGGTGGTTGTTGAGCTAATCATGAATTTAGATAGGTTAATCGTTAGATCCATAGCAATCTATATTGTGGGTAGTGGTTATGAGAAAAAAATGCATTTTCTTTTTCTAACCTATGATGATCTGCTCTCAATTTGGGAGGGGTTTTTATGATTTATTTTATGTGCTGAAACACGGATTAATGATTTATTGCTACAGGAGGAATTATAGTAATAAAATTTGATTAACTGGTGCAACCATGATAGAAACCTTAGTTTTTAATCTTTTCATGCTAATATCCTATCATTCTGAATAATATTCTTATGTCTTATCTAAAAAATGTCGTTATTTGGCCTGGTGCAGATCGAAGGCAATAATGCAAAAGCAGATGATGCCATCATGCTTGACAAAGATGGTTATGTATCTGAAACCAATGCAACAAACATTGTATGTCGTCAACTTTGTCTTAACTGTTAGAAGAGTCTTTGTTCTTTATTTTGCTAATTATATGCTAGGGTTTGCTAGGTAGCAGGCAGGTAGTTCTTGGAGTTCAAGCCCTGGACTATTGATTTATCCACAACTTAAAGAAGAAAAAGAAAAAGAAAACTTACGTGGATAATTTTACATTGACGACATATCAGTCGAGTTAATGCATAGCTTATGAAAATCATCTCCCTACATAATGTAGAAGATAGGTATCATTATGTGAGAACGGAGAAGGATTGTAGGATTTTCTTTTTGTATTTCTTTCTGTGGCGGGGTTTGCTAGCAACAGACAATGGTGGACTACATCTACACTTCAACTCATATATTGCTCTACTTTGTACAGTTCATCCTTAAAAAGGGCCGTGTTTTGACACCACATGCTGATTACTGTCTTCCTGGCATTACTCGCGCAACTGTAAGTTGTTAATTTATATTTCATATTTATTAGAGTTGGAAGCCCTGTTCTATTTATTTAATATAAAATTGAAGAAGGTGCAAATGAAGTAAAATAATATTTAATAATAGACTTTTAGTATGTATGACTGAAATCTGGTTAAACTGTGAGAATTTGGAAATGAAAACCATTACAGGTGTTAGACAATGTGATGTATTTTCATGGTGGGGCATCTTGGATTAGTGAACCACTTAAATATGGGTATAATATGAAAAATTGTATATCCTTTCAAAATGCCATGAGATTAAGATTTATTGAATTATATATGTTGGGACGCCAGTATAAGGTGGCTCCCAAAGACCAATTTTAACTCTTAGTAGTACTTTTATTCAGCGTCTTATTTCATTTGCTAGTAAGGACACCATTTTGTTGGCATAAAATAAACTTTTGGAGAACAATGGAGCAGATAAATTTAAAAGATTAACTTTATAATTTCATTCAGCTGGTGCCGAACTTCTTTTCCCTCATTGAGACTCTAAATTATGTTCATTACTGTATTCTGGCTGACGTAACTCAGCTGTTTCACAATTTAAGGTCATGGATCTTGTGGTGAAGGAGCAGTTTATCTTAGAGGAGCGGAGAATCAGCCTGTCAGAAGTGCATACGGCAGATGAGGTTCACCTATAATATCTACTATTTCAAAAATCTTCTAAAAGTTTTTCTAGAATTGCATTTTTTTTATTTGAATAATATTTATTGCTGACTTACAGAAATGAGGGATATACAGTCAACTAATATTTCTTAAATGTAAAAACATTAGTGAGTTTCTTGCACCACACTGCGATGTCATGGCACAAGATCGCATTTATTATGGATTGAATTTCGTTGGGAATTATATATTAATATCGTACTCCTATAATATTGACCTCATTAATTGCTTTCTGATTTTATAGTCTATCTAGGAATGGTTTGCAAAATTAAAGTTCACTCCAATATGGGACTTTGTTTTTTTATTGCATGATCATACGACAAATATATTAAGAATCTGGAACTTCGGCTCTTCGCCCTGAATAGCCTTACTAGTTACTACTTTGTCAAAAGTTTCAAAACCTTAAGATTTACATTTATGTTACATTTCTCTCTTTCTGTCACTTTGCTTCTCTCTCTCTCTCTCTCTCCATTGTTGCGAAGATTCAAATTTATGTTTTGAGTTATAACTAGAAGGCTGCCTTGCAGGTATGGACAACAGGAACCATGGGAGAACTAAGCCCAGTAAGTGCCTGATGAATTTTGTCTGAACTATGTTATCTGACATGATAAATATATTTTTTTAGTTTGGGTTTTCCACCTAGTTTGCTCAAGGTTTATCAGCCCCATTTTAGAATGTTGATTGGTATATATTACCATGATGATGGCCAACTTTTGTGTTTAGTCAGCTCCAGCATTTTGATGCGTCTGTGTTACTAGCAATTCTCTTAGCCAAATAATTAGCCAGGATAACATAAGTACCAAGTACATTGGTTAAAATGAAAGGTGAATTTATGTAGAGCTCAAGCTCTCTAGAGGTTGAGCTCTCATTAGTGGAATTGAGGTTTAATTATTAATTAAAAACATCAATGTATGAATCGAGATATGCATTTAATGGTGAAAAAGCTCAACCTCTTGAGAGCTTGAGCTCTCCATAGACTTAAAATGAAAGGTAAATTCTCTACTTAACCTGTCCAACTCAGGATCTTCTTGATGAAATGCTCAGTAATCCTTGGCCTTTGATCCATTTGCTCCTATAGAATGAGTTATTTCCGATCCTATGGAACTTGACAAGCATGTCCATCAGTTATTTATATGACTGGTTTTAATTCTTACCAGTGCTATTAGCACCATGGTTCATGACACATAAATTTGATATTCAACTAACTAGGCTTCTTGCAGCCATTTAGTTGATAGTTATTTGCTTATATGATGTGCATAAACTCTTGGATTACACCTCCAGGTAGTGAAGGTTGATGGACGCACAATTGGTAATGGAGAAGTAGGACCAATAACTAGAAAATTGCAAGCTGCTTATAAAAAGTTGGCAGAACAGTCTGGTGTACCTATACAGAACTACCTCCATGCTTGAAAGGTGTAGAATCTTTTTCTTGTGCTCTTAGCCTATGCATTCAACTTTTAGACTTTCCCATGCAACACTTTTTGCCACTTCATTTCTATAATACTAATTCTCTTTTAATTTATTTCATTCTGCAGGTGGAACTTGGAAGTGTGTGAAAATTGCAGGTGTCCCACTACTGAGAACTACCTATCTTAGCTTTTTCCTCTCATCGAGAATAATAATGTATTACTTTATTTTCTACTTTAGGGTTCTAGATAAATAAATAAATCGTAATTATTAGTTTATAAATTTAATTTGAAATATAACTTCCATCGTCTTGTCACTTTATGTACTCGCGCTCTAATATAGAAGGCTCCTTATCTTCTTGGAATGTTTTGTAATTTGTATAATTTAAATTTTTTGATTATTTTTTTCAACCCCCGGGTTGATATTTTCAATCAACTCAACAATAATAGGTCAACTTGCCGAACAAATATTGAGTATTACAGATGTAGCCACCTACATTTCCTTCTAAAAGGAAATATTTTTGGGATTTGAATAGAAATAGAAATATCAAAAGGTGGTAGTTCAGTTAGCGCATGAGAACTGAGCACGTGGAGTGAGAATATGTGTTTGATACTCTATGATATCATTTTTAGGAGGAGTTTAAAACTTTAATGTTGGATCCATCCCAAATTGCACTAGTCGCGAAACAATAAATTGATAGAATATTTAAAAAAATAGAATTATAAATTAAAAGTTGGATTTAGATAGAAGAAAATTTTTCATATTTAGAAAAAAAAATATCCACTTGATATTCCCATTGTACTGAATAAATTTTCAAACTCGCTTCACTATTTTGAACATATTAGGATGGGGCAGAGGAAGATTGACTTTGGCAATTCAAACTATTTGAGTAAAACGATCTAAACGCTAATTGATCTTAGGGAAATTTTTACAATAATTTCGTTTTAACCATTTTTTTCATACATTCTTTCAATAAAAATCAAATATCAATGTTGATATAGTAACATGTAAGAGAGAAAAATATTATGTTAAAAACAGGTGTTTGATTGCAATTGAGAGTACATAGTACATACGATAGTGGTATGAAAAAAGCGCTCCTGGCTTAGTGGTACGGTCACCAGTTTTCAAGTACGATTGGCTGAACCATGACTTGATATGAGATAATTTGAATATAGCTGTGTGGAAAAAATAAATATAATAACATGACTCATTATAATCCAGCATTTAAAAGAAAAAATTTCATATTTTTTCTATGGCGTCCATACTTCACAGTTCACATAGATAAAAAAAAATATAAGTAATTGACTATTTGACTAACTATAAGTAAATTATTAATTAAATTATTTCAATATTTAATTGCTTAACATATCAAACAGAAGCGAATTTTTTTAGTTAATTATGTTTTTTTTAATAAATAAATCGCTATTATTTCGTTAAGAATATTACGTATTTAGAAGTACGTATAAGAATTATATTTGGTGTGGTAATTGTGACCCCCCACAGGCCACAGCTCAGTGACCAAGGTAATCAAATAGCAATTTGACTCAATCTGCTGTGGCCTGTGGCCTTGTCCTTGGTCCCTACCTTATATTATTGGTATGGATGGATCTTCAAGTTTTATTAAATCTTTAGGCAAATAACACACTCTTATTTCCTTGTGTTGAGAAGAGTAGCGTATGATAGTATCAAATTGTGACACACTTTGAAAACCCATTCAGCAGTGTCTCATGCGGACCAACATTGGGCACATTGATACATTCACTATCCCTTTGGTTCCTTCCTTTCATTCAATTATTATTTTGGGATTATTGTCATCGTTATTTTAGTGACTCTATATATATATTTTTTTGCTTTATACTATTTGATCAAATAAAGCAAAGTCACTGTCCCCAGTCTGGGTACTATTTCTTTATTACTTTGCTTTCAACTTCAACTATTCTCCGAGGACTATTCTTATTCCATCTTCTTTTTATATGTTTTCTATTTCTGACTAGAGCTAATCTTCATGTCTTGGTATAAGTAGCATTTCTTTTTTTAACGTGCAAACTTTGAAATAATTCATGAGAGAGAGTTGGAATCTATGCTCGTCATATTCCCCACTAGAGAACAAGAAGGTAAAAACAAACAGGTGATGAGAATTGGAATCTTCTGAAATACAATCTTGGACCTTCTTCAACAACCACTGATCATGCATTACTATTAATTACTATTACCATTATTATTACTAATATTATTATTATTATTATTATTGTTTAAACGGACGCTATGACCCTTGTAGGATGGATTCATGTGAAACCCGACATTAAAAATGGAAGAGAGAAGGCCAAAAATAAAATGGTGAAGGGTCTAAGATATATATATATTTCAAAGTCATGTTGAAACTAACTGAATTGCAATTTATGCGAGGGAAATTGGGTCTGACCACACACGGTTGAGAATGATTCTTATTAATAGATGGTTGTGACTGAATCATCTCCTCTACTATGCGGAATAATATATGCGATATGTTGATTTTTGACATCATTGGAGTATGGTGATTCTTCAATCATTGGCTATTAAGGAGGCTTATCAATCCTATGATGTTGTCGATCAAAATGTGTTTTCTTGGGATTGCATGTACATATTATATATGCATTTTCCTTATGAACTAAGTCTATATTTTTGGGTCTTTGAACTTATCATTTGGACTGGACTATTAATCTCGCTTAGTATGAGTTCAGATCAAATTCCAATAACTTAATTGGACTTAACAGATTGTTCAACTTCTCCATTAATATACTTCAATTGCTGATTGATTAGGTCAACTCAAGTGTAAATCATGATCCCTGGCTTCTAACTCTTCATGACTCGCCTTTAAGTATTTCTTTCTTTTTTGGTAAACAGCTTTTAAGGATTTCTATTAGCTTGTTGTCGATGCTAATACATTTGTTTGGTGCTTTTTCATGGGCTTTTATACACTTTTATTTACACAAAAAGAGTAGTTAAATTAGACATTTAGATTAATAGTTAAATAAAAGGAAGGTGGCTTGGATTAAAGAGGAAGATAAGATCCCAAGCATAAAGCTAAAGCAGAATATGAAGTTAAAAGTCAATCTAAAAATATGATGACGAGACTAGATTCTTCAATAATTATATAGCTTCCTAACTAATCCACTTAATTATTAAATAAAGACAATATCGAATGTTTTTTTTTTATCTTTTTTAAAAATACTAAACGTATATACTTTTTTATTTAATTCTTTTATTAAGTGCTAGAAGAATTACTAAGATGGTATTTATCCATGATATAGCATTACTCTAATAAATTATGAATAAGGCAATATTATGGAGAGGATTTTATACTTTTAGAGGAGTTTTCTTTTTACCAGATATTAGGAGTAGCAGAATTCACTTTTCTGTAACTTTTCTCTGCAAAATGGAAAACACTTTTGGCTACCTTTGTTGGTTTGTGGTACTGCTAGTTCAAAAGAAACACATATTCAAATACTTACTCAAGAGGTAGTTGAGGTATTGAGGATATCCTTATAAAATTAGAAAGTATTCTATGAATCTATGTTATTACTGTTTTGAGTTTGACCCAAGGGAGAATTCACTCAATGAGGGAACAGAACAAGGTTTTAAATTTGAGAAAACATCAAAGAATAATAAGATCATGGTTTTTGAATGGCCGCTACTTAAAAAGTCATACTGTTCACTACTGAAGCAATCATCATTCTAACTCAAATCTCCAATGCATACAAAAAGTTTTGAGTACAGAATAAAGTAGATCAATGAAGGGAAAGTGTTCTTTTCACCTAGACAAGTTACTCTATTTGCTGGCTTAAATCAATCAATACCAATTCTCCATTAAACAAAGTTAACCTCAAAAAGGACTTTGCTTTTAGCAATAGTTTAGTTTACATCAGTAACATTATTCTTTTCATTCTGCCCTTGGAAGATATTTGATAACCCCACTACCACAGACCAACTTTCTCTTATTTATTTATTTACTTTTTACCTAGGGATTCGATTTGAACATAGTACAACTTGATGGGACCATTGTTTTACCTTCAATGTGCTAATGATTTGCATTTTTTTTTTTTTTTTTTTAGTTACAAAATAATTCTAGACACACAAAGTGAATTAAGAATTCCATGATATAATACATAACACGTACACTCAAACACATGATGATGGAGCATTTCTTCTTTATTCTGTGTGAAACATAATGCACAGAGAAAATGTTTAGCTCTTCTAAAGCTGTGCTTTGCAGCCTTCCCCTGCAGTGCAATTCTACTTAGTACAGACTACAGAGTAGGTAGGTCTCCTTTGACAGTTAGACCTTTTGCTACAAGTCCACAACATAATAATCTAAGGTACAAACTTTCATTATTATTTTCATTTAATCAAATTCTACAAAAAAAAACAACAACTTCCACTGTAGTTCTTGAGTCCAATCATCAGAATAACAAGCTCTAATTTTATTGCTGTGCAGAAAATATAGAATCAATTAGAAGTCATGTTATCATGTTCATGTAGTCTTAAGCTTCTTTCCTTGCATTGTTATCTGACGACATCAAGGTTTGCAATGAATATTGAGCTAAAGTTTTGTAGTATTTCAGCATTGTCAAGAGACAAGAATCAGGACCAATTTGGAGGTCATTTTTTGGTTTAATTGTTTGTGAGCATAAATTTATAGAATTATGACAAGCAAATAAAGGAAACCAATATGAGATAATTGCCAAAAATCTTCGGCTCTCATTTACATTCAATGTTATTTTGAGAAATTCTCAATTTGGCCTTGACAATTTTTTGGCTTATGGTTGAGATAGACAACCCCTACCAATTCCAAAGCACTTAAATATGTCCCAAGCACAACATACCGCAACCTTCTACACCCTGACCCCAGAGAAAAAGAGAAGACAGAGAGATCAAAAGGAGCTATAGCTATAAAGACATATATATATAAAAAGGAATGAACCAAAAACTTCCTCCAAGGAGCCCCACCATCAGTAGATTATTAACAAAGGATGAACAGACTTTGCAATAATTAGGTACATCTTGAAAGATCAAAACAAAAAAAAACAAAGTCGTGAGATTAAAAAACCAAATGGGGCAAATTTGGTCAAGATTGAATCCTAATTCAACATTGCCTCTTGTTGAATCCTATCCAGCATCTGGTACACAGCTGCAGCTATATCATCCACCGATCCCAATTTGCAATCATCTTCTACCTGCAAGAAAAATTTTCAATACATTTCCACTTTAAGCTCTTAAATAGACATGGAAAAAGAAAAGAAAAAACTTCAGTCCCCAGAGGCAGAAACTGCTATTCAAAAATGCCTGAAATTCTAAGGCAACAACAACAAAGACAAACCTTAACACTGAGAGAGTAGAGGACAATTCCACCAGTGGTAGTAACATTTAAGTGCAAGATCGTGAGGCGCATGCTATGCAAACCAGACACCATCTTCAAGAGCTGCTTTGGCCGCTTCTTGGATCTTATTTTAAGGTTTGCATGGCTTTCCACCATTGTCACTTCTATGTCAGCAATACTAGACTGAACCTCACCCACGTGCTCACCTATGGCTGCAGAATTATCGCAGCCACTAGCACTTGTTGAATACTGGGGAAAAGTGAAGAACTCAGAAAAGGGCATCATCATATTTGCATCATCATCATCATCAGATTTCCCTACTGTTGCTTTCTGAGAACCAAGAAGTTGCAGCCTCTGCTCAAGCTCCTTAACAAAGTTAATAGCACCTCCAATTATAGAAGCTTGATCACCCTGCATTCACAACCCAAAAAAAGAAAAACTCAGTTCAGCAAAACCAAAATGTAGAACATTTTACAAGCACCATTTTGCAAGAAAACAAATAAGCCAATGAAGTACCCTTTGGATATAAGAGTCAGGCATTAGAGAACGAAGTACAGAAAGATACTCATTCATCTGCTTCCTTCGATTTCTCTCAACAGCAATGTGAGTCATTCTCTGGTTCTCAATTTCTTCCTTGTTCTTTCTGCTTTTGGCTCTGCGCCTCTTGGGACGAGCTTGGATGAAGGTTGAGATATCTAAGTTTTCTGTATTGTTGTTGTTGTTGTTGTTGGGGTCAGTGGTTTCTTGAAGTTCATTCAAATGGGGTAACATTGAAGTAGTGGATGATGAACTATTCAAATCTCCATAAGGATAATTCCCTGTTTGGTTCTCAAGAAAACTGATAGAACCTTGTTCTTCTTCTTTTTCAAGGTTGAGGTGGTCTTCATAACCCCAGTTGCAGTTGTACAAGTCTTTCACTCCATAACCAAATGGGTGGTCTTGTGTTTGTGGATATACCACTGCTTCTAGTGCCATGGCTTTATCTACATAACACAATTTTAAGGCCTTCAAGAGGAAGACGAAAAAAGGTACACAAATGAAGTGTTGCGAAGAATATTTGTGCTTATAAAGAAGGCCCTTCAGGATACAAATCATCAACAGTGCCTTGCACGTGAAATATTATTGACTGTAACTAAATAGAGTAATTAAATTTGTTAAAGGAAAAAATGAAAATTCAGTCGCTGCAGTCCAATGCACTAAGTTCTTTCACGATAATTTAGTGCACTAAATATTATAATGGTGTTCTTCAAATGTTTTTTCGGGAGAACATAATTATAAAATTTACTATAAATGTGTTCTCGCGAGAGGACTTAGTGTACTGAACAAATTTTTGCATCCAGTGTACACTCACTAAACCTTTTGTTAAAATTCATGAATAATTATTAGATAAATTAAAATAAGGCTAAAATATAACTTAATTCCTTAAATTTTTGGTAATATTCAAAATTACCACTTTATATTTATAATTATTTCAATTTATAACCCCTTGTACTTGGTGATGGTTACAAAATTTAACAAATGTGTTAAAATCTAGATTAACTGTGTTAACCCCACGAAAATCTAATTGTCACAAATTGAATACGGCAAAGGAAGAAGAAGGGGTAACTAAACTTACCTTGGCCACAACATCTGAGGGGTTTCCAGTGACCGTGGCTCCTTCGCCTACGTGCACATTGGAATAAGGGAGACTCAGAGAGAAATAATTGAAATAATTAAAAAATATAAAGTGGTAATTTAAAATATGACCAAAGTTGAAGGGTTAAATTTTATTTTAATCTTAAAATAATGTAATAAAAAAAGCTTACCAATCTAAGAGTTAATAAGAAATTAATATAATGTTAGCTCATTTTGATAACAATTCTACCAAAAAAAAGTTAGTTGTTTAGCATTTTTTTATGTAGATATTAGGTTTAAATTAGACTTACAATATCATAAGAAGAAGAATTTCTTGATCCTTAAATAGAATATGTTTACAACATTATTGGTATTTTTTTTATTTTTGAGAAATATTTTTTAAAAAAAATTATCTTATTGGATAAATAAACAAATTTTTTTATGCAAAGATCTATCATGATAGATTATTAAATTCACTAATTATATTTAAAACTTAATTTTATATTGTTGTTTCTCTCATAGGAACTTCCACTGTTATTCAACAATATAAAAAAATAAAAATCCAAACCCTAGATTTAAACTTTTGTGAAGTCATCATATGTAAAAAAGTACAAAAACACAATGTTGTGTTTGGATTTTTTTAATTTATGCGTGATGGAACATAAGAAAAGGAAATGAGTTGAAAAGTAATGGAATGGAATAAAGCGATATTTTCATCTTTTAGAAGATTAATAAGGATATATTAAAATAGAATTTTATTATCATGTCAGGAAGTTGAATTATAATAGATCATTTTCTTATTAACTTTTAAATCTCATATATTATCTCAATTTTGAGAGAATAAATATTGATATCTTAATTTTCAACTCTCGAATAAGAAAATCCGTCAACCTTCTCTTCGTCCACTTTTCATTTCCTTCGTTAGCTATCATCCAAACACAAAGTAAGAAAAAAAAAAGTAAAGAGGGGTAAAAAGGATACGAGAGAAAAGAAGGGATTGTACATAGGAATGTGGTGTAGTAGGTAACTAGGTATCTTTGAATTGAACTTGTAATAGAACAACATACTCGGCTCGGCAGTTTTACAACACTTGTACTCGTGTCTCTGAAAATGATATGTCGAAAAACATAATGAGGTCAGTTCCACTATGCACGCAGAAATGTTGGCATTGATGATTGGGCTCAAATTCTGCTTGCAATTCTTTATTAGTAAGTAATTTATTAATATTACCGTAAGATTTAATTTCATGATGCTTGTGACATGATTTAACCTTGAAATAAACAAAGATCAATTAAGCATCCATGAACCAAGTGTTTTTCATGTCACATTTGATGGGACTGACCACAGTCACAGCACAACAATTAGTTAAATTTAATGTATGCTTGATATAATAAACTTGGACCAATATTAATATTATGTAAATTAAACAAACAATTGATCATGCACTCGTCAAATAAAATGTTTTTACATATGTCATTTTAAATCTTTATGTTTTTACTTGCATAGAATATTGTGGAAGAAAGCGATCTTCATGCTTATCAAGAATGATAACGAAACTCGAGAGCCACATTTACTGACTAGGATTCGAGCATGAATAGCCAAGGAGCATATTCACCGAGAAGGAAACTACTCCATAGACTGGTTTGGAAACAATGTCATTGTTAAGAATGAAAGACTCTACATCTATCATAACATGCTTCAAGAAATAAACTCCATGTTTAAGTATATTTATTATGAGAGTCTAAATTTTGTTTGTTGAATCCTATCTAGCTTTTCCTTTGTGTTTGGGTATTTTCTCTTTTTATCAACCAACAAATTAAAATTAAAAAGAGAACTTTAAACTTAAATCTTTTTTATCTTGAGAATTTGGCATGATGTTACTAAAATATAAGTATATAAAATGGCTCGCTATTTTCTGCCGGAGTATGTCTACCTCGCATAAACGTGTGGACGTAATTTGCTTGAGAATATTAAGTAGAATCTCATGCTATAACTTTACAATATAAATTTTCAAGATACATAAAAATGATATAATTTATAATAAACTATAATAAATCCTCTATCCATAAGTTACTAATAGGTAAATGGTTATATTATGCTGTTCAACCATATGCACAATAGATTCGTTGAGTTCATGTAAATTGTATATTATGTAATCAGTTTTTTTTTTTTTTTACAAATAAAATGTATCATTAATCATATATATTCCTCGATTAAAAATACCTAATAGATATATAGTTAATAGTTCCAAGAAACCAATCGACGAAGCTTAGCTAGGCATAGGCTCTTAAGGCAATGTCTAGAATTTACTTATGAAAAATCAACTTAACGGAAATAGACAAATTTTTTTTTTTTTTTTTAAATATCAACGGATGTTCGAAGTTCTAATGGGTCTCACTAATCCGATTTCGGGTTTAAGTCTTTCCACCCTTCTCAGAAATCAAATTTATTACCCTTTGAGCAGGTCAAATTCTAAGATATAACCGAGATGCCATAAACCAATAACTCTTGGGTACAAACATGGTTTTTTGGGCTAACAATGGATGTGGAAGTTGGAAAAAAATGGTACTTGGGAAGATTAGATCATTGCTTTCCAGTCATGAGTGCCAAATTGGTACCACTTACCAGGAAACTAATGTAATTTAGTGCAGCGAAACACAACACACAAATAATAATTATGGCATCTAAATCCCATTGATCGATGTATTACGCTTGCTAATTATTGTTTCATAATTAGTACTTCCCCATCATTATTTGCTCTCGTGCTTCAAATCAATTTATCAACGAGATTTACATATAAAAATTTGATTATTCTTATACCAAAAAAAAAATGATTATTCTTTTATTTCGTTACAATGTTTTTATTTTTTATTTTTATGTGAGACTAATATTTATTCATAGTATTGATCGATATTGATTTTTTAAACCAATGTTTCTCACACTTCTCACCAGATTAACAATATTTTTGAAATTAATTATTAATATAGATATGTTTGAGTTAACTAAAAAATTGAATTGAATCATTAAACTTGGTTTAGTGGTTCGAATGTAAATTTTTATCTCAAGTAATTTTGTAGTTAAATTTTTATCACAAATAAAATTGTTGGAAAATAATTATTGAACGTTATTGATCTATTAAATTAAATTAAGGAATGGTTATATTTATAAAATTTTTGTTTACAAACTCTTGCAAATTATCGGAAGTACACTAGATTACATTATGTACTTCCGAGAGTATATAATATAATTTACAAAAATTTATTAAAAAAAATTTATAAATAAATCCTTGTCTTAAATTAAATAAAAGAAAGTGCAATAGCATGTTAGTCAGCAGCTAGGTTCAGCTTTCACTGTGATCACTTTATTCATACTTCTTAATTCTTATCATGCTGCAGTACGGGAAAACATAGACTACTAATCCATGGTGCAACGCGATCGAGGAACAAACTTTCAATATTACCGTCGACAATAGTTTAAAATAAAATTATAAATTATATATTTTAGAAAATATATAGTTATAATATTAAGTTTTTTTTTTTCTCTTTTATCAGAAAATACGTCTGCTAATGTGTTCTACACCTATGGAAAACTGAAGATTTGTTTGTGATTGAGAGTATAAACATAAAGATTAAGGTTATATTTGCCCCCATGAAAATAATGAAAAGAGAGACCAAAAAAAAAAAAAAAGTTAATTTCCAATCCTTTGGTTTCGACTTGCGCGTGTACAGAAAAATATAGTCTCATATTGGTTGTATGTACAACTAATGTGAGGTTTATAAAGCCTTGGGCACTCTCATCTTTTGAACTAGATTTTGGGTGGTGTATTCCAAGGTTTTTTACATGGTATCAGAGTCTCACCGCCCCCACTTTCTTTTGTGAAGCGTGTTGAGATATATAGTCTTACATTAATTGTATGAGCAACTAATGTAACTTTTATAAGAGTGGTGACCTTAAAATTCTTAACATGGTACCAAAAACCGCTACGAACCTCTAGCTTATGGAGCGTGAGCACATATGCGTTCCTCCAACATTGTGATTTGTAAGAGAATTTATAAGACAAAAAGAGAAATGGGTTCGACATTTGGTAATAATAACACGGTCGGAAGTAATTAAGAACAAGACAGATGGGGGAAAAAACAAAAGATTTAAAGGAAATGAAGGATGACACACTTTGAGATTCTTTAATAGCTGAGAGAAAAGCTTAACAATTTTGTCCAGAGAGAGAGAGAGAGAAGCACACTCTTCCATCGTCAGAAAATTTGCAGAGCAACCATGTGCTTCAAAACAAACATATATTATATACAACAAAGCTTCCAAAAAAGAGAAGGGAAACCTATCTTCGGGTTCTTATTTTTATATAA